TCCTGATTGGATGACTAAGGCGAATCAAATAGCTGTCGTCCGGTCGATCAACCTGAGTGTGAAGGTCAAGATCTGATTGATAGATAACTGTCACCTGAGGCCTTTAGGTTTCGCTTTAGTGTGTTGCTCGGTAGTAAATTGATTGGTGGTCTGCTATTCGTGATCGGCCTTCATGCCCCCAATGAGACGAGCGGAACGTGGACGGGACAGCCTCCCATTGGTTGCCCAACTTTCGTGGAAGGAAGCAAATGTCCAATGACTTGCAAAGACGTCTCCTACCGTCGAGAGTACGTCACAGCTATTACGATCTTGCGTGCATCTAGCGGGTTTATGACCAGCAAAACTCGAAGTTCGAAGGTCAGGTAGTTTTCCTGTTATAAATATCTTTATGAATCTTGATGTGGACGGTCAGTAAAGAAAATGCATCTTGCTCATTGCGACGTTTGTGGAGAATAATGAGTATATATATATATATATATATATGATTATATATATCTGGATTGACTGCGATGCTGAGGGCTGTGCCAAGCGTTTGAAGCATCGGTGTCGTCTACTCTGCAAATCGTTTTACTAACGCAAACCTTTGGGAGCCATCAGCATGGATGAGTTCAAACAACTGCTCCTTGCGGTTGCTTTCTACGTAGCGCCCACCGAGCTGTTTTCATCGAGTAAAAGTTCAAACGGATTATGCCCTTAGGGCAGCATTTCAATTCGGTACGGATGTGATCAAACCAGGGGTCCTATGTACGCTGGGTGACAATTTCGTTCGGGACGATGACTTGCTGGAATTCAGGCGGCCATTATGGAACCCAGCTGCTGAAGAAACATCGAGGAGATACCCATGAGCAGCACGACACTAAGCTTGTGGAACGGCAAACAAAATCAATTAGTTGATTTCGCGCACGCGTGGTGAGTTCTGCGAGTTAAACGTTCAGATCATAAAGCCGGATTCTGCAAAATATTCAATGTCGGAGGCAACAGGCAAAACAACAAGAATATTCATGGTAAAAGTTGAGAGGAATATGGGGAGCTTGATTAATGTGACCGATGGAAAATATGAATATGAAGGTTTTATGATTGCAAGAAATAAGTTACAATATATGAAATTAGGGTGAACGAGGAAGATGGTGGACAAGTGTCAAAGAGAATGAACAACAGCAAGATTATGAACGGAAATAGAGCATGAGGAAGACAAATGTATTATCCAAAGGAATCACGTATAAGGAAAGATGAACGGTGTCTAGAAAAAATGAAAGAACAAGCAGAATAAATTGCTTATCACGACAATAACATTGTCATCTGGTGATAAATGCTGCTAATATTTGTCATATCACATGCTAAAGCACATAATGAGCGAATGTGCTGATTACGTAATTTCCGTATCCCTAAATGCTGTTGGTAAATGGAATACTTGTTAGCGACCTTGAACTTCCCGCAGCACCGTATGGCTTTCGCGCAAACAACCAGTCAAATCTCCGAGGAAGTTCTCGTAATCATTTTCCGTTAGTGCGGCCAACGTGGTGACAAGCGTGAGTTTATTAGATCTGGCCGATGCATCTTGGTGAAGAACATCTGTGGAAGCAGCGGAAGAGGAAAGTTTCCACAATTCTAACCCAAAACGACAGTCTAGAAGAGGAAAGAATAGAAAAGTAAGAACAGGTACCTTGAACATTTTGAATTTAACAAAAAATATGTACAGATCGAACTCGTGCGACATGATTCCCAATTTAGAAAGACATTTCAGCATTATACATTACAACATCATACGTCCGTATCAATAGCTATGACTGAAAACCACTTCATACAAACATAATCTTTCATTGAACTGTTCTTAATTCTCTTGTTTGAATCAGGGTGACCTTGAGTGTCACGATAAAGTTTGTAGTAGTTCGGAAGTTACGACTCGGAATTAGAAAATATTTGGTCTACAGCAACCTGGAAGTTCTTGCTTTCTAACATGATTATGGTTTCATGAGTGTCTATTTTGGTCACTTCAAGTATTTTAAATAGCATATCTTTGTGAAACGGTGCAAAGTAAATAGAGTGATAAATGATAGCTTTTTCGTGTTGAACAAAGTGACAAATTATGTGGCTACAAACTGCTAATGTAAAACGTATCTTACTGAAAGGAATAAAACCATAATCCAAAAAATGAGAAAATTGACATTGAGGTATGCGGTTCACTTAATAAGCGTTTTGTTATCTTACCATGCCGTAACGGAATGAAACACTTAAGAGGTTTGGTACACATATGAAGCCGAGAGGTAATGTAAGTGCGTAAATTGAACGTCAAAGTACCTGAAATGTGAGAGTGCTTCGACGTAAAGAAACTAAATTTATAGCACACTCAAGGTTAATTCACCATGAAGACAGCGAAGGAAACCAATTAGGATGCAGTTGAGAAAACCTGAAACGAACCAATATTGAGAATAGTCAGGGAGGATTATCCGAAATTTTGAAAGGAACCGATTGGGGAAGTGATGCCTAAATTTTAACTGCAGGACCTCAGATACGAAGCCGTTATTGAACATCTGACAAAGGAGAGCACGCATTGGTTTCACCAACAAATTCAAGTGGCGCCACCAGTGGATTTGGCCTTTATCCAACTGGTGGTTCACGAACAATGTAACAGGCACACAAAAGAGATCCGCTCACCTAATTTCCAAAGAAATCGATTTTAATGACCGATGAAAAGTAAAACTCCGCCTCACCTAATCGGTTGGAAGGAAAGTGAATGCTGAGTGTCCTATTTTCAGCCTCCTGTACATGCCACTTTGTTATTGCATTGGTAAAGCAGGTTTTCGGTTACATTCACGATCCATTCCCAAAAGGTCATAGTTTTCCAAGCGAAGCCCAATAGCACATCACGCAGTTTATCATGACAACTTTTTTGACTTCATCTTATATTGTTTTTACATATTAATGCAGTCTCCGGATTGGCTTTTTTGAAAGTTGATTTCATTTAGTTACCGCCCAACAGCCCGGATCGGAATGTGATCGAAAACGTTTTCCCTGTGCTGAAAACCTTGACGGTCGTTGTCAGTGGTCAGAATTTTAATTTAGCTGTTTTTACAACTATTAGCCATGGACTTTAGTGCGCCGGTTTTGGCTGCTGTCTTTCGGCTGCAAACTTAGATATAAGGCAGAAGGAAGATTGGAACGCTAAGAGCAGAGTCAAAGAGAGGATTAAGCATGAACTGGGGTTGCAAGCATGATGAGTAGATGCGTCATGTGATGGAGGAAAGTGACAAATACGATTTGCGTGACAGTTTTGTGGACCCCATACAACGACGATTGTCCCAACCGCTCAACATTTAAAGAGAGTGGGCAGGGTATCGAGAAAATCTAAGTACACCTATATCATGCCTATCAGTCACTTTCCTGAATAAGTTCTCATGACGTTTCGTTATCTTACAAAGGATGCGCCAGCGACCGTCGTCCAAATCAAGACTCAACACATTAGGCAGTTGGGAGGAAAAGACAGGACGAAAGTCAGAATGTCACACGAAATCGATCAATACCCGTTATATGCAGGTAACTCACATTATTAAATTGGTCTTTTATTTAGTTCAAAGTTAATTGAAGCACAACCCCGAAAGATATGCATATCCAATTTCTTCTTCAACAGTATCTTTCACTTGTGTGTACACGCTGAAAAACAACAGCGCGATAAACGTGAGAATTGTGGCCCATTAAAGACCGTGGAACAATAAACCGGAAATAAAGCGAGTGCTGGAGTTCGAACTTATGATAAGCCGAAAACTGCCGCCGCAAAATGGTTTGTCATCAAAACTAACGAAAATACTGTCTTGCTGCAAAAAGTGATATTACCGCCATCTCCTCCAACTGCATCTATTCAAAAAGTGATATATCACGCTGCGCATGCACAGCACACCTTAAATTAATGCGCTGCCCGATAGCAAGTCATAGAAATCCAAATTCGCAAAGGTGAATAAAAACCGAAATGTGCAAGGACACAACAGAAAAAAGGCGAACTCAGAGCTCCTATAAACATGATCCACATGTAGTCCATCGGCAGGTTTCGAAGTCAATTAAGCAAATTAATGGAATCAATTAGGGACCGAGTGAAAGCAATAATATGAGGGCCAAGGACAGGTGTTGTAAACGTACAGAATGACGTATTACATGAGCGAAAAAAGAAACACAGTGATCGAGCTGGATGTACCGTGAATAATATGTTAGCAACAAGAAAGAACTGAACGAAGACAATGCTAAATAGGGTGCCGGAGAAGGAGAGAAATATCTTCGCACCGCTATGTGGTTTCGCTGGATACATCGGAACCTTTCGATTGTGTGGCACTTAGAACTGCTGGATAAATTCCGTCGGAACCTATGTCCGGAACAACAGGTAATCTAAACGAACATTCGAGTCGACTGGGCCGCGTCTCGTTTCGTGTATGTGAGTGCTGGTGTTACTCAAGGTTCTATGATTTCCTCCACATTTTCTGATTTTCATGTGTGACCTTCTTTTTCAACCTCCGATTGTGCCGAGACCACTACTGTATACCACTCTCTATCCTATGGCTCTTCTCGTACGGCTAACTCCAACATTAGAAATGACAACTTCTCAGTATCTTCCTTTCAGGTGAAAGAACATGGATTTGCAGTCACTCTGGTTCAGCGAACATAATGCAATGAATTCACGACTGGTAACGCCGAGTCGTCCCGTGAAACACTATATGAATTCTAGTATAAAGAACACTGTTTAACACTCTCCATTGATTCGGCTTAGACAGTCAAGGAATCCACCCTAAAGAAAATCAATGACAAGATATTAGCGTCTACTAACGGATTAATTGTAGCCTCACGTTGATATCTTTATAAGACAAACAATATTGCTAAACCAGAATGAATATCCCCGGAGGAAAGATATTAGAAAACTCGTCCCTATAAGCGAAAGGTATGTCAAGCATGCCACAACTGTAAAGCTTCTTACACTTGCACGTATTTTCATTATTATGGGTTAAAAGGAAGCTTCCAAAAAGTGCGAAATTATTCATCCGAAACACTCTGCACTATTTGCTAATTTGTCAAACAAACGACCTTCACAATGCAGTGCTTATTACTTTTGATGATCCGATGATCGCAATGAACGCATCGTTTCCCGAATTCCATGACGGTCCTTGAACTTTTATTTCCCTCAGTCTCACGCATTGTCCTTATGATCTGCTCATTGTTCTTGCAACCCGTCTTTAGAAATTCTCTATTTTACCCTCGATTTTTCTCTCAACATTTAAATCTTTATTTTGCTCTTCTATCCAAATCGGCAGCCAAAAGACAGCAATCAAACACAGACGCATGGAAGTGCCTGGTTTATGGCTGTAAAAACGAAACTGAACTGAACTGTCCTTGTGAATGACGTTATTTTTATCTTTCTACAAGGGCTAACTATTATGCTGCTATGATATACACCCATTTTGCTCGCATATTCTGTGGGTAACTCAACTACTTGAAGCACAAGGTTGAGTCTATGCAATGAACAATGGCGGTCTCTCGTAGTCAGGCTTCCGTGGGTGATGAGCCCTGCCTGGCAAATATCATAATCACAGTACGTTCATAGCTTTCATTAAGTGTCCGATTCGTCAATGCTCCTGTCGGGTGAACTTGGAAACCGATTTATTTATTTATCCATGGATTCAGTACATGCAGATCGCCGATTCATGTTTATAGGAGTTACACTGGGGGTTCACACTGGCACAAGACAACAATCAAGTGTAACTAACATAGTCCCACTTTTATGATTACGATAACAATTTGCCTGGAAATCAAAATTCAATAGAGCCCTAAAGCTAACGTACCTTCGGTTTGGAACAACCTCACGCGGCACCCACTGAGCATAACTATCTTTAGGACGAGCAATTTACCCATTCGTTGACGTCGCGGTGAGCCAGCCATACGATGATTCGCCAAAAATTTATTATCAAGCACGGCTCTTGGAATACAAGCCGATTCGGCAGGATGGTATAAACCATGGGAGGTACAGGTTGTGTCCTCAGAGGCACGCAGTAAGGCAATTGGTGGTTGTAAATAGGAGGCAAGCAGCCGGTCCAAATTCTTGGCTCGCGATCCAGTTGGCTTATTTCGCAGTAGTGTTAAAATTCCTCGACGGATCTGTTGTTGATCACTGGCACGTAGTCGGTGACCTGAGCCATTTCGACTCGGTTGTTCGTGCTTGGTCAGGATAAGCATATCATTGAATAAGAGCACGTAACGCAGTAAGGCCACTTTCGTTAAGCTCTGTGGACGTAAGATGAACTAGAGAACAAAAGTAGAGAGAGTGACTCATCGATGAAGTGCATGCCGAAGATCGTTTGTAAGTTTAATCTTTCAGCAGAATACAAACCATATTCCAAAATTAAATTAAGAGTAAGGCAGGTGCAGAGAAGTTCATAGGTAAGGATACAACAACGATCACCACGATTACGCGTGATCACGCATGATATACTGCTTAACACCAATCTTTACAGAAACAACACCAAAATACCATGTATTGAATGCAAAAGATAGAAAAAGAGAGACGACAAGGTCAAGTTGGGGAATAACAAGCTTTTTATTTGTTTACCGCAAGCTGTTTTCAAGTTTTTTGGTTAGTTTTGGGATCGCACACAGAAAAGGATGCATTCACATCACTGATTTCGGTTCGATGCCATATCTTGCAGTATCTCCAACCAAAGACAATCCGAATCTTTCGGGGCCCTAACCGCAGAGCCGGGAAGTCCCAACGGAGTCCAAATGCGATCACAGTCTCCTTAACCCTCTGTATCACGTCACAGCCCTTGCACCTCGCTGTTTCTTCCAACCTGGACCGATGTCTGCGAATGGTGGACTACTTCCAGAGTGTCATTATCCAACGAAAGTGCAGGAACTGGCTCCTGCCAAGCCTACAACAACACCTTTGAAGGTGCAAAGAACCTCAATTGCCAAACGATTTAGCGAATCTTGAATCGACGGTGCGCTGTCACCGAGTAAGGCAATATCACTGGCATACTCCAAGTCTACCACTCTGTCTGCAGGAAGAAGCTCCGAGCCAGCGTTCGTTACGTTATGTAACGCGCTTTGTAGAACATCATCTACGGCAAAGTTAAAGAGAAACGGAGAGACAGGGCAGCCCTGTCGTAGCCCACTGGTGACATGAAATGAGGATGAGAATTCACCACAGGCCCTAACCTCTCCTGAGGTCTGGCGGTAGTGTTTTAGGAGTAGAACATACTTCTCGGGTACTCTATATCTCCGCAAGCAGTTCCACAGAGCCGATCCATAGAGTCGAAGAACGCTCTGATGTTCAAAAACAGGACAATAGTTTGTCAGCTGTGTGCGTGGCGGTGTTCTAGTAGCTGACGGAGGGTGAAGATTTGATCTATGCAACCAGGGCGTGCACGAAATTCGGCCTGCTCATCACGGAATTGCCTCCGACAAAATGGACTCAGTCTGTTTAATAAAAAGGACGCTAGCAGCTTCGGCGCTATTAGAATAAGACTTATGCCCCTGTGGTTGAAACAAGCAATGCGACAGCTCTTCTTGTAGATGGGTATAACAATTGATTCCCCCCCCCCATGTGTGGGGTACACTTTCGGTTTCCCAGATATTTGTGAACAGTCTCACAAGCTCTCTCACCAGAGCTTCTCCACCATCTTGAAAGAGGGAAGGTGACAGGCCGTCTGATCCAGCTGCCTTGCAGAGTTTCAGGGCTTTAAGTTACTTTCGGAACTCCTCTTCTGTGGGCGATCTCATGGATAGTGACTACAATGCACTCTCAAGAGAACTACTTGGGGCAGCCAGGGCGAGGGGGCTGATTGAATTGCGATGTGAATTGCTCTGCCCATTGTTCTAAGCACCGGCGAAGACTGTATATTAGCGTGCCGTCTACTTCGCAGATTGTTTCACTAACACATTGTCTTTTGGGGCCCGTAGCATGAATGAGTTGCCGGGTATTTCCACATCTAGCTATTGTTTCCATCAGGTTTTTCGGTCGTCTCTCAAATTCTTTGTGAGTTCACGATTCAAAGACAGATGCTATTCACTATATCAAATGTCAGCCAGGATTGCACATCAAGAAGTCTAACTGGGTTGGAGGAGATGCATCTCGATGGGTTAGACCACAACAGTGCTGAGTGCATTGCGCTTTTAAAAATTGTCCAGTTGGTATACGCTACTTGGTGGGGTAGTAGCTGGCCTCATGGCCAACCCGTTTTGGTAGTCGGCTAGCGTGGTCGGGTTAGAAACTTGGCGACCTCAAACTGTTTGCGCCTCATCTTTTAGCGACCACCAAATCGCACAGAGAACTTCGCACAAACCAGTGCGTGATCGGAGTCCGAGCAGACAGATCACTACGAATGGCGGTCTTTCACACACCCTCTCCATCTATAGCTAATGGCTATATAATCAATCTGACGGCCACCAAGATGAGTCTCATAGAGAGACCAGATTCCGAGAATAAAAACGCAGTGGGAGGTGACCGTTACGAGCGGGTACTGTTACAAATTCACTATCATATCGTGGTGAGGCGACAGAGAAAAACAACAGTATTATAATCAAGTGTTAAAAGCTTGGTGATAGAAATCGAATTTCGCGCAACTGCCTACCATCTTCGTTCTGTGTTGCCCCGCATACTCCAACATGTATTTTCGTGGCATGATCAATAACATTTTTCCACTGTCTCGTTTGCTTTATTGTAAGGTGGATATTTATCGTTATCCAATTTAGTTTTCTTGAAGTGCACAAAATTCTAAGAGATTATTACGGAGTCGTTTCCCAAACGACAATACATAAAAGGGCCAATACTGGGCTACTTCCGCGTGGAACAATTCATTTGATATAGATACAACACGAATATTTTAATAAACCGTTTACCGAATGTCATAACTGGGCATAAAGTAAAGGAATCCCAGCAAATAAATGCAAAATGTTTCTCAGTTTTCCACTGGTTACACCTTTCTAATGATACGCTGCGTCGTAACGAATCCGAGGGTGTTCCAAGATCAGGTGCGAAACTCATGGTGTTTGAGAGTACTTAAGTAGGTCGAGAAGACAGCAAAAGTCATTCAATATCCATTGTCATCACTCATAAATAATACTCCAATATTACCTCATGTAATTGCTTTTTATCTCCCACTGACGCGAGATATTTCAGTGCCATCTCTAATCGACTGTTTTTGCACCGGTATCTTCTCCCCAAAACTACGGTCTAATAATTGTCAGAGAAATTTACTGTTATAGTCCCAGGAATGCCCTCCGCAGGACTGGGAAATCGTTGATCAATAACCTTGGTGCACCGTAATTTATCAATTACTTATGCACTTTGAAAGCCAATCACCAAAGAACACTGCACTACATATCCAGAGGTCAACAGATACCTGTATCGACTTAATGGATCCATTTGGTAACCTGAAAGAATATGGAGCGCGATAATCAGCCGTACATATTTTTTTTCTGTCAGCGAATTTGACTATCGCACTTGATCTTTATGTACTGATCTCCTTTAACACATTCGAAAACTTCGCTATGATTCGCCAAGCTTCACTTTGATCCAGCAATTACTAACCACATTTCCTTATAAGCACCTTGCTTGATCGGGCTTTAGTGTTAACCTAAAACGCACAAGCTTTAATAATACCGTTATGAGACAAAAAAGTATCGGAACATTCTGAGGGCAAAGTACGTTTATATATTATTTCTTCCAAAAATGGATGAACACCTAGTGATTACGATCTTCCATTATCAACCACCCCTTATTTGCACCACACGGTCAACAAATCTCAATTACCAAAATGTAAGCGAACCTCGAAATACCCAAAACAATGTTGAAGCCGCGACCATACCACGTTGGAAACGCCGGATCTCCTCTGATCACCGAAGGTAAGCAACGTCGGGCCCGGTTAGTACTTGCATGAGTGACCAGCTGGGAATACCGAGTGTTGCGGCCGTTCCTTGGAGTGGTGGTTGCGCAGTGGCTTAGTCGCTATCACCATCGTGCTATGGACCCTATGGTCCGAGGTTCAATCCCCGCCACCGCCGCCCAACTTTGGTGGTAGGCAACTTTGCTGTCGCTCAGTTTTATACTACACCTGAACTAGCGGGGACTGATGTGGTTTGCCAATCCAAGTCCCGGGGATTAGGCTGCCGGATACTATCATTGAACAGCAAGTCTGAGTGACTATGAGGTCCGCCCCGACTGCTGTCCATCACCTACTGGTGTGTAAAAAAATTCCTCCGAGCCCGACGGCCAATTAAGATCGCGAAAGCGTACTGCTATTTGACGGCTGTAAATCCTGGTCGCTTCGAGCCATAGAAATCCATTTTCAACGCTTTTGGAACGTTACCTACGCATTGTGGAATGATCACATTACATTACACCGCTCACCCACTGCCGCAGCCAGTTTGAAATTAGAAGGTGCGCGGCGGTCAATCCATAACATAGTGGTATGAAATAAAAAACTGGTTATCGGCCTGCCTCGCGCTAGTAGCCCGAATTTCCCCGTTGGAACACATAATATAATGATTGTCATTGGTTGGAGAATTCGAGAGACATGGCTTCAAGCTGCAAAGATTAGCATACATGCCGCTCTTCTTTCACATAAACTTCAAATTTACCACAGACAATAGAGCAGTCATCACAAATGAGTGGATTCAGAAACAAAAATGCTTATTCCATACACAGTCGATTACTTTTCTCAATATCAGTGAAATATGTACAGAACTTCGGATCATTTTGTACCCGAAAGATGATTTTATGGCAGTTAAGAAAACTGAGTACATCTGGAGCTTGTCTAAGTCACTGTGCTTCGCCTGCTCAAAGATCAGATAACGGCAGCCAAGTAAGTCTGATGCAGACGTTCCAAATAGAGTCAAATTTAGATAGCTCGCTATTCACGAAGAAATGGTAGTCCAGTTCAACGGATAGTGACCACACTGCAATACACTAGCGTTATTGTGTTACAGTACAAAAATTATAGGTCATACAGAGTGTTGAGCGTGACTGTACCAATTTTAATGCACTCAGTTCCTGGTAGGGGCAAGGAGTTTAAGTCAGTTTCCATTTTCACAACCATTGGACATGAATTTTCACTCGTCGGTTTTGGTTGCTGTCTTTTGGTCGCCCATTTGGATATAAGAGCAGAGTGAAGGTTGGAATGTCGAGAACACAGTCAAAGTGAAGATGGAGAATTCATATAGACTGGGGTTGCAAGAATAATGAGTAGGTGCACGAGCGTCACTGTTGGCGACACTCAGCAATATCACTCAGTATCCATAACCGCTGGTTAACATGATCTCGGGGTCCCAAACCAGGGAGCCTAACGGCCTCTAGTGACCCAGTGTCCTGGTTAGAGTTTACATACTCTCATTCTAGGTCTTGGTTTGACCACCCTAGCCTTTCTCTAATCGTTTCCGGTCTCGGCAAACATCCCGCGCCGTGACAATCTATTTGTTGAAATGCGCAATCTGTGCGAACCGCAGTCTATGGAGATCGACCATTTGTTCCAGTGGACGACCGCAATTACCTAGGGGCGAGGAAAGCTAAAGCAATAAATGGGTGCTTTGAAACACAGCAGAGTAAATGAACAAAGAGATCGTATGGAATGGATAGTAAATGGGGCAGCGAACTCTGACCGCAGATTCCAGTGTGCAGTTCATCCGAGAATGGGCCTGCCGAAAATAAGCAGTTACGGAGTGGAAGTGCTAGTTGCTTGATAGTAACAAACGAAATGAGAACCAACGGTTTCCTCAATATTCATTCATTTAAATCCCGCAGCAAATTCCGCATTATTTCTTTTGCCTTAGAGTAACTAACAGATTTTACTCGAGCAAGTCATGTATCAACAGGTCAGTGACGGCAAAAGCAGTATTTTATTGCTGTTCCCGGAAAACTTATTGGTGTGGTCAGTAGCCCTCAGCCTGCAAAATGAGATAACGGATTCAACTCCTTCCGAGGTCGATGGACTCTCGCCGTTGGTGATGTCTCATAAGCTATAAGTATTTGTAGTCAATCACGGGTAACGATTTTTTCGTTTGTTTTCTGCACGAAAAAGGTCCCGGAATGAACAGAATGATAGTTTCGCTGTAGGATTTTGACGATGCTGACCATTCAATGAAAGAACTTTTGGAGAAGGCTTTGGGTCCATTTCTATGGAGAACCTGGTGGAGCTGTAAGGGGGAAACCAGTCCACGTCCCCGGAGTTCATGTTATCGGTTGCCATACAACGAACACCAAGTTTACTTCTCCCGTTTTTCACAATGTAGGTATGCAATGGGAAAACATTGCAAAGATCTAACGATACAATTTACGAAGAATGTACCACGAAATACCTAGTTTTTAGAATTATACATAAGTTTTCTTGACTTACTTGTATCATGGTACACAAACAGACAAATCTTCGATGAGGCTCCACTAGCTGACCAAATAACTGAGTCCAGTGTTTTTCCCCGTTCGAAGGGCAGCTGCAATTCCTGACAGTTCTGGGCAAAATCAATCGGGCAGATATGCGCCTAACCAGGTGCGTGTGATCCGGACCGGGTGCCAGCCGTTTTGCTTTAATCCGTTGATATATATCACTGAGCACGGCTTTTGATATGGCTGGTTTGCACATTGGAATATGTGAGCCGGAGGAAAGTAAGTCTAAAGCGTGGTTGTGAATGGAGGAACAAAGAGGGGATTTGAGTTAACGCGCGATCAATTATTCCTAAAGAAACCTTTTAAGTTCATATGTTTTGCTAAAATAATAAAGAAAGTGAAGAAAAAGTATCAGAATTTTAGCACCAAACACTTTTTTACCAAAACGGTACAATTGAGTTGCAAAATGCTTATTGCTACGCCTTCATTATCCCAGAAAATATATCCACCGATACAGACCAGACACCAACACAGGAAATAGCGGAACGGAAAAACATTGAGAACACTGAACTTCACACGTGACACGTATCCAGTCTGCTGGTTGAAAGGGGATTATAGGACTTGGTCGTGAATAATTACAGCATGTACGGGTTTTGTGTAATATTTCTCAGGGATTCTAACCCAAAATATTCATCATTCATCTGGTCTAAACTGGGCAATCAAAAACGACCACTGAAGTCTTCCGTTACGCCAATAGTCCAAATGATCAACTAACCGCAGCGACGCTTCTTGAGGGTAGGTGCATGAATCGCAAACAACCATGAATACAGAGGGCAGTGGAGAGGTGTTCACCTTACGCGACCCAGTCACAGAAAACGTGAAACGTAGTCACTTCGATTAGAAGACAGCTCTGTGCACCCAAAACGCGCCTTTAGATATCATCACGCACATGGTGTTCCACCAGATGTGGGCACTTTATCGAAAGACCGTTCAATTTAAATAACAGCTAACCAAGCGTTTTCGTGCGGTGAATACGGTTGCCGTCTTATGGGTACGTGTTTGGATGAAGAGTAAAAGGAAGTTTGGGCTGTTGCGGACAATATTAGTGTGGATAGAGAATCAAGTTCGATTTGGGTTACTAATTTGAGTATATGTGCCACGGACACGGTTTATGAGGCTTAGTTATAACACTCAGGATCTTTAACAATCGATTACAATGATCGTGAGCTCTTCATTCCGAAATTCTAACGCGGCCTACCGGACCGATTCGTGCCTTCATGCCAAGTTTCCGTTTCACCACTCTGGACCTCCTGCAACCCACATGTGCCGCAGTAAATACCGCACGTTATAACAGCCTATTTGGTGATATGTTTAGCACATGCCCCAACCAGCATCGTGTATGCCGCTCAAGCACTTGCCGCGAGGACAGATGATCGAACGCTACAAGTCAACGAAGATCCTTGGCATGGAGATGTCAATTATGGTAACTGTCACACAGCACGTGTTGCACTGTGGCACGTTACACCAGGCCATTCAGAGTGACAGAGATGTTATGGCAGCAAAACAGATACCGCGAGTTAGCTCTGATACTGCGTCCAATAAACGCGACTGATTTTAGGAGTGATCTGAGAAATTATAACTGACTTGCGAAATGCTGGGGTTGGATCCGCTTCCGTTCAATGCCAATTGATTACACGTTTTTTTCTACACCCGGTTTGACCACCTGCCTTCTCACGCCCTTTCTGTGGTGAAATGAAGCAAACCGCAGTCTTGCTGTTCAGCTCGTTGACGAACGTCAATTTGGCGGGGCCGGGCCATTTGCGCGAAAAAAACAAAGCTCGACTAGATAAGCACGAGGGGTGATGAACTGTTTCGTGCGCGCTACACCTAGGGCACAGTTAGCTCGGATATTGACGATAGCTGAGTCACCAGAGGTTATCACAGTAACTACAACTAGGGACGAGTTCTAACCTTAGTGTACACCGAGCGATGCATTTTTCATAACGTGGATGATGGGCCTATTTGGACATTTATTGACAGGCTGGGATTGAAGTGATTGGGGTGAGCTCTGATGATTGGGCTGTTTTTCATCAATGGCCTGACGACCACAACCAGTTATGCCCATTCGTTACAAAATCCGTAGAACTGAACGAAACAGAACGCAGTCGGTTCGTTTGATAAAAAAAGAGTCAATTTCCTGCTATGTCACACCCCTCGGGAATTTGAAAAACTGGGTTAACTCCACTAACCGCGACATAGCAGTGTAAACAGTAGTATCTACTGGTAGTATAAAAATCGGTTGACAGTTTTGTGAGAAAATAACCCGGATCGATGAAAAGAAGGTTTATCCCATTGGTTGTTCCCAGTGTTTATAATTTATTAACTGTTTACTTATAACGAAATCCGGATCCACCGTCCTGCGTATCCTTTATGTACCGAAGACATTTAATTCTTTTACGACGCCCTCGGTACAGTATTCAGCATTATTCAGCCCTTTTTGAGTTTCACGTGTCTAGTTATACCGAAACTATCCATCTTTCTTCAGTGGATTTTTTTCTAACCCAATTATCGCATATTAATTCCAGATATTTCTCCATTCCGTTTCAATTTTAGGCTCACCACAATTGATTATATGACGTCCACCATAACATACAACTGTTTTAGCTATAGTAATCACATCAGTGTTAACCAAGGAACACAAAAGTGAACCAGTTCGAATACAGTGAGGAGGAAATAACATCAACAATAAGTGAAACATCTGTTACGGAGTATTTTCAGAACATTGACTTCTTTCCCATGACCTTTGGCAATTGACCTGTCTAATTTCGTCGGTGCTCTAGGACAATGAGAGTATCGTTCATTCATTGACACAGGCAAGTCCGCCCGACAGTGATTATCGACCGCTCAACCGCTTACTAGGCAAACGGGATTATCATTCACCCGTTTGCACGTTAGTGCAACAGAGCCCATGGATAGACCGAATTACTGTGGCTTTGGTGACCGCTGTAGCAAAACTGACCCCATTCGAGTGCCCCACAGAAATGCAAAAAAAACTTGGCAGATTACAAAGATGTATGTATTTTTAGCAAAATCATAAATCGTCGTTCGCTTGACTCATCTTTGGAAACCAACAAACGCGCTGTTTAAGTCAATTGCACTCCAATAAACGACCCGAACTCTGAGCGTTAGCCAAGGCCAACAACTTCAATTGATGCAATAAATTCTGCCCCTCTGTGATTGAGATAAATTATAGCGAGTTTTCGGCCTCACATTCAACTTCTTCGTTGCGATGCTTAGCTTGATTCGAAAACAATTCACATAATGACTATAAAAGACTAGACACAAATTTTAGATAATCCACTTCTTCATCATCAAATTCCAAACAGGCGATTTCTTCTTCAAAAAGACGGTCATCAATAGAGACATGAGTAAAGTACTCGATCAGATCGCATTTATACTCTACATCACCGGCTGAATCAATGTGGATGGGAACCCGGCTTCATGAAAGCGTTGGTCAGACATCGAACAGCCAACTGTGAAATAACGTAGAAGTCATCCATGCGTTCTTTGAAGAGTTGCCACTGCATGGAAGGCATCGTGAAGTTTGAAACTTTCCTATCACCAACGGCGATAACTTTTCTCTGGCCATGCTCCCACAAAGAAGAAACATTAACTTCTCTTTGGATTTCTTGGACCCAGAAACTGTCTTTCCATTCAGACTTGATGTTCTTTCCGGGAGCTGCCTGTAATACAAAGCTGTTTCATCTAGATTGAAAATCTCAGTCAGCATATCCATGGGTCAATTGCGACAACTCCGCTCTCAACTGGCCCACTGCATCACGTACTACAGTTAAACTTTCCCCACAGACCTATACAGCAATGCACATGAGTTGCTTGTTTCTTACTTTGTACGACTGAATACCGTTTCTGTCTGACCAAAAGCGAAACCGACCTTTGGAAGCCTTGAACTCAGTATGATGCAATCTTTGTGCTAGCTGGATTGCTTTTTTACGTAAGATGTTCTCCACCATTGGGAACTCTCCGTGCTTTTCCCTCATAGCAGTAAACCAAGCCAAAATTGCCTCATCCACTACCTTGAACTTATCGTTGGTTTTCAGGTGGCATCTTCCCTCAGGTGCTCCAGCGTTCAAAAATTCCCCGATAGTCGTTCGATGGGATACAACATTGAAGACAGTTGTTAGTGAAATTCCAAGTGATTTGGCTACAGAGCTCTGAGTTGCGACATCGCATAGTCAGATACCACGTTATTGGGCATACGATTGGTTTGGGTTTTCGAAAAAGTGGGAAGATATTGGAAAATTCGACTTCTCAGGGATGCGACATAGTAGGAGATTGACTGTTTCTGGTTTCTGGACGAAGAATTCGGCAATTTGCATGTTCTAGTGTCTGGTTGCGAACAACTGAACTAAAAATCGATTGTGGTTTCAGCGATATTATATCGTCATCCATTTTCTAGGAAAATCTCCTCGGCTTCAAATCCAGCATTCACTTTACCCTTGAGGTGAAATATACGCGTTATGGATTCGATTAAAAATTACCGTTGATGGCATCACGTTTTTTGATTCCTTTAGTGTTGTTGAAATAAACGTGAACGATCGGCTAGCTAATGACAGATAGTCTGTAGGCTTCCAGAGGTCACCCACTCGTTTCTCTCTCTGTGTGTGCACGCATGTTTTGGGTTTCGCTATACGACATCTCTCTACGGTTTGTCTGAGTCCCTCATTGACTCCCGTACCAGTCAGGCACATACACACACACACACACATACACATCGACGTATCCTATTAAAAACATTGAACTGCTTAACCTGAGTTCAGAACTGCTTCATTTGACATTTCTCTGCGACACAGATTGAGGTGTTTTATTTCTTCTTATCTGGCGGGTCAGAACGAAATAAACTTCCATCATGTTAATCTGGTCCACAGAATTCGATATGCACTAAGGCTACAAGTGGTGGCAACCCAAGACCGAATGAACGGTTCGTTTGTAGTTGAAAAAAACGTGTGAAAATCTTGAACACTCAGCTTATCGTTCTGTAGGCTGTGCACGGCACCCTCTTGCTGGAGAATTGAGGTGACTTGGTTACATTTTACCTGCAGTGTTACGGGTCTCATTGGGTCTGGTAACGTTTCGTATCTAGCGAGTCGTGATTGCAAAATCACTGAGTGCTTTTCAACCCGAATCACAATCAAACTAGGCTTTAACCGTGTCTCCGTATGAATTTGGTCAACATGTTCAATTTCACCTGCACATATATATATATATATATATATCATTTTGCAGCGTATACGCAGTGATAGCTTGCTGCCGATTTCGAAAAGAGTTATCACATTTTAGCATAGATGTGGATGTACCTTCGTAGATTAAAGCTTCCATCTAACATATTTGTCACCTCACCCAATGGGAGAACACGAAGCGTTTCGTTCACTTCCTGAGGACTCCGTAACACGACTAGTGCGTGGCATGAATCTTTTCGTGTTTAATGATTCAGCCAACCTCACATATGAACGGAATTTTTCTCATTGATGCGTGTCTGTCCCTTTTTCACTCGGTTTTATTGGTTCAGAATGGCCAAATTTGTGGCAAGCTTACGCTGGTCACAGTCGCATAGTCTTCTCAATGGACCGATCGCATGGGAATGGTCGTCGTGAAAATCGTACCATTATCCCCGGTGGAACATGGTTCACTAATCCACATGCTCTGCCCAGTTTGTGTGAATTACAACATCGCATCGAACGGCTGCCGACTTACCAGCAAGAATGTTTGCTTCGACCAAATACCTCGCACCTGGCTGACAACCCGTGCTGTCCGATGTGGTCTCTACCCAACCTGGTTGCGGCTCTCCTACACAAAATTTCATGCCATGAGGTAATCCGGTAGTGCTTTGTATTTCACCATTCATTCAGTTACTAATTATTTTTGAGTTAAGTATCCACCTGGATCAGCACTCAATAGGGGGTAAGGAAATGTCATCAACCAACATATATATTCGCAGGTTATTCCCATAGATAATGTAGAAAACGGTGTTCACGAAGAAATTTATTTTCGATATATTGCATCAGGCGGTTATCTATACAAGACGATCTTAGTACAGATACCTGATTGGTCCATTATAGCTCAGTTTATAACGATGACAGAGGCGAGCCAACAGAGCATGCGAATCTAACAAGGTTAGTGGTAATCAATGCTGTTGAGTAGTGAAGCGGACAAAAATCAAATGAAAAATGGTAGAGAGACGGACCACCCAGATGTATGTACTATGATCGCCTTATATATTTAATCGCTTGATTCGATTTATTGAAATTTTGTGAACACTTCTACGATATATATATATATATATATATATATATATATATATATATATATATATAACTCATTTGGCATGATCCTCAGTTTAAATATATATTTCGCTTTCTGATATCATACTTGCATAACAAAGAGCATCTATTCCGAACTTAATCTTCCACTGCAATGTTCTTGATTCTCTTGCACTACCATTTTATGTGACTTTGAGTGTCACCATAAAAATTGTTTTGGTTCGAAGGGAGTGAAAATTCAAACCTATCAAGTAGATTGCTTACAATAGTGAAGAACGGCTTCACGGGCAGTTGGAGTATTTCGATGAACAGTTTAGCTGGACTAGTGTTAACCAGATGACCTGATGCTTCGTGGGCAGTTTCATTCTAACCTCCCATAGAAGCAGAACTGCGATC